GGTTTGATTTATTTTAATTATTTTTATTATGTTTGCAACCTTTCCTCCACTTACTTAATAATTACAAGTATTAATAGTGAATGATTTTTTAATTTAGAATATATATAGAATAGATTAATCCGTGGTGTTTCACGTTATTCTCGAAAATTTTTTGTCCTCAAATCGAAAATTCCCGAATGAACTGTTTTGGGCTTAGGCCCAATTCGAAAATTTGGGCTCGAATTGGGACTATGTTACAATTGCAACCCACACGGCCAAAATTTGCGATTTTTGATTTAATAAAAATTTAAAAGTTTTGAAAATAAAAATTCAGGGTGTTTCATGTATGCATTTTTTATGTAGGTCATACCATGCACGACTTTTACTATTGTATATTTTATGAAAAGCTTCGCATGACATTTAAGAAGGTATATATGTATATAAAGAAATTATCAAATGAATTATAAGGTCATGTAAGAATTCTCTTAAGGTAATATATATATTTATTTAACAACTTAATTAGATTTCTTTTATTGGTTTGAGTACGTTCTTTAATATATAATACAAAAGTCAGTTTCACACTTCCAATTTCATGTTTTCCCACATTGGATTCAACTCTTTGTATTATTATTATATATTGAATTTAGTGTTCCATGCTTGATGTTGCTAAAAACACATTTTCTTTCCTATGTTTATTCAAAATACTTTTGCATATAATTTTCTTCTTAAAAATAACTTATTACATCCTTTTCAATCAATGAAAATATAATCAAACTTGCTATTTTGAAAAACTTATTCTACCATGCTCAGATAATTCAGAGGGCCAAAAAATAATTTTACTAATTATATAGAGTAAAGATCAAAATTTTGTTTTAGAAAATTTTCAAACTAAAAGCTTTAAAAGTTTTTAATTTGGGGAGGCCACGGTCCCTGCTTCTCGATAATTTTATATGTTTTCATAGTTTTTAGTTGATATAATAGTTATTATTTGTTTTTTAGCGATTTGCTAAACATTAGAAGGAGTAAAATTTAATGAAGCACTCCCTCAACAACGAAACTCTAGTATAACAAAAATAATATTTTAACTATAGTCAAAATGCCAAATGATATATAACAAAAATAATATTCTAACTCTAATCAAAATGACAAAATGATATATTAAAAATTGTGATAGTTCGTATAACAAATTAAATAAAAATTGACTACAATAACTAAAAATTTGAATATTAATACTTTTTAAGTGTGTTAAAGGCTTTAACAAACTTTTCCTTTCATTGTTCTAGAAGAACACTCAACTTACATGAGATGATATTTTTTAAATTATCTTAAGATGGAATTATTAAAATTAGAAAATAAAAGTCTTTTAAACTTAGAATCAAAATTAAATTATATAGACCAACCATCAACGTATTAGGAATACTTTTTTTTTTTTTTGGAATATCTTAAGATGACAATTACTATTAAAATTAGATAAAAATTTTTAAAATTATTTTTTATCGATACATGAAGACTAATTAATTTCTTTTTTCAAATATTAAACACTACTTATATACCTCGTGTTCGAATTGTTGTGTTGTCTCCGTGCCCCTGCATCACCGGACAAGCGGAAACGGCCTTTGGCGCATTTGGTAATAAGCCAAAGACTGGCAATCTCAATCTCATCGCTGATCCAGATTACAGAAAATACAATCAGCCACGTGTGCGGTCCAGATCACAGAAACTCCGTTTTACAATCCGACGTGTCAATCTCCAAGATGAAACGCATCCCCAGACCAAGCGCACACCACATGGAAATTCGTTGGAGATGTCAATTGCAACGTGGCAGCGAATCGGTGGTGGTCAATAAAGATCGGGGCCTCGGAGTCTGGAATGTGGGGTCCATTACAACAAGTCTCACTTTCATTTATTCTGTTCCAGGAGGTACAGATAAGAATTCGATGGGAGGTGATGTACACAAGCGGGACCCAAGACTACTTCGAGATGGCTGTGAGCGACAGCGCAACACTGTCCATCTCCATTCCGACTGATGTCACACGTGCACTTTCATTTTCTTCGGTCCTACTAGCCACGTGCGCACCATGTCAGCCTGTCTCATGCAACTATTTCTTTTTGAAATGAAGTTCAAATTACCCTTGTTCAAGGGGGGGAGAAGAAGAGTACAAAATCAACCTTTTTAGTTTTACACTTGAATCCATAACTAAATTACAGGTAATTACAAGTTTATGGTTAATTTAAATCAAAATATCGAATTTGTGCCTTTTTTTAATAATAATTTCATGAACTTTATTTCATTTATTTTTTATGGAAAAATTTCGGAAAACTAGTATACTATGTACTATTTAATATTTATATAGTAGCTAACGCCAACTTATAATTAAGTTTCCATTAAAATAATATAATATTTACAAATGTCGTTTTGTTATTTAGTTGTAATATTTAAAAGTTAATTTAAAAAATAAATAAAAATAAAAAATGGGAAAAATGAAAGTATTGTAACCTTGTGGATGTGTGATTGAATGGACTAAAACTAAGCCATTTGAATATCTTTTGTTTAACCAGCAGTTGAATAAATGAAAATCAACTGTATTTTTAAATGAATTTATATATTTGGTTACAGGTTTAAAAACAATTGAATATGTGAAAATGAAATATATTTCTAAATGAATTTATATATTTGATTACAGGTTTAACAATAAAACGTTGGGTTGAGCATGAAAAATAAGAAAAAAGATAAAAAAAGTTGATATGAATGGGAAGTTGTGGGGTTATATATTTACATGTAAGAACAAAGAATAGGTCAAAGAAAGTGAAGGAACAAAGGCTCGACTTTAAGCTTGTGAATGAATAGACTAAATTAAATATGTATAATAAGAAGAAAAGACTAAAGAATAAGAAACCTGATAAAAACTTTTTGGTTCGACAAGCTAAAAACGACAAGTCACTTTGTATTGGGTCCCTTCATGCTGATGGTTTGTTTGGGTATTGGATTGGATGGTGTTTGATTCAAAAAAGAAAGAGAGGTTTCATTTTCTTAGAAGTGACTAGTAACCATTTTCAGCATATTTCTCCATCGCTGTTTCTCTCATTCGAGACATCATACATTAATACATAGCGAATGCAATTCCTATCTTTAATGTTCCAACTGAATTCAATAACTTCGAAGAGTTTTCCCTTTCTTCTGTCTCTTTCTTTTTCCTCTTCCACTAATTAGTCTGGAAAATGAAATTCAATTCCGTTTATGTGTATCATTCTCTCCGTCTATAAATAAATACAAATGTGACACTTATTTATAGATATGCTACTTTCGCAAATATAACATTTATTTGTGGATTAATTAGAATCATCAAAGTGAAAAAATTATAGTTTCACATAACTATCCACCACAGTACTCGGTAATTTCTATTGTTTTTGTTTAGGATAATAATATTAATTTAACTTTCAAAATTTTCTTTCCTCTTTTTCAAATATGATTTTCAAATAAAAGAAAAAAAAAAAAAACTTGTTTTCTCCTATTAATTTTCCACGCTTTCCAAACAAAGTAGGAGAAATTATAACGGAGCCAAAATTTTTGCTTAGGGACTAAAATAAAATATTTGATTTCTTGTTTAATAGGGGTTGGGTTAGCGAACAAGTTGTATTGAAGGTATCCTATATTAATTTTTATTTTTGAGGCGGGGCATGGTCACTCCAGCCCCCTCCCTCCGTCCGTGGAGAAAGGTACTTTCACTTCCCTCCATTTCCTCCCCCCCTCTTTTTCACTCCCCTCCCAACTTTGTTCCAAAACATTGTATAAAAGTTAGTACTGGACACAAAAATTGTTCTTAGGAGATCAAGGAATAAATCTCAAAAGAGAGACAATTCTAGTACAAGGTGGGCACCTGCGGCCGTGGATGCAGAGCCCAGAAGAATTGATTCTTTAAGGCTGGAGAATTATTATTGGGACAGTGCCCTTCACTCTTTTCTGGTAAGCCCAATGTCTAAATCACTTGGTCACCAATGGATGGTTTTATGCCCATGTATTTGCAGAGTAAGTTCCTAATAAAAGAACCTTTCTGGTATATCATAAATTCTTGAAACATGACCCGTCAGGATTTGAAACTTGTAACCACAAAGAAACAATAGAACCTTGCAAGGGTCTGAAAATCTGAACCCTAAACTAAATATAAACTGAAGATTCCAAAAACCATCTTTTATTTCCCCCCGAATTTGTACTAACCTCTTAGAAAGAACTTCATTCTGTTTGAAAATTTTGCAGGGGTAGTAGTTTCATTTCTAATGCAAGCTGGAAAATAAATGACAAATATACATACTCACTGCCATTGCCATCTTCTACAATTATGTCATTGACATAACTAAAATGAGTCTGGAGACAGTTCCAGAGTCACTATAAGCAATGACTTCCATTACTAGAATCTTTATAAATAAATATCTGCAAGACAAATCCTTTCCATGAAGATAATAAACGAGAGATGCTTTCAGTAGTATCAGGATCATGAGTTTAGCTATGTACATATTCATGAAAAAAGTTATGAAGATATGCTACTGTTAAAATAATAAGTCCAGGTAAGAGGAAATCAGCAGTAAAAAATAACAAAGAAATAATTATTTAAGGTAGTTCAGCTACATAGAAATTTGATCCAAACCAACTATGACATTCTTGTAAACAATGACATTAACTATTCCCTTGTTCAGTGCACAAACCATTAATGCTGATCCAAATATTTTCAATAAGACTCCAGTTATCTTATTAGGGCATGAATAAAAAAAAAATCATAAACCTAAGGCATTAGCATGCATTACTATTTAACAAACTAGTAACCCTTGAAATAACATGCCAGGATAGTATTATTACCGCCCACAATGTATTTAGGACAATGCAGGAGCAGAATTCACAGTTAAGAACCTCTATACTTAAATTGCTTAAATGTCTGTATTCTTAGTGCCCATATACGGCGAGGAAAAATTATGTGAACCTCATTTATTCATTTTATCTAAATAAAGAAATGGATTCATTCATAATCTCACAAAAACATCAATCTCCCCACCTGAGATTTGATTAATTTCATATCTTTTACTCATTTTCAATAATCAAATGAGAAGTTCGAAAAAACAAAATAATCTCTGCGAATAACATCTTGATTTTGTGCAGGCCAACTTCCTGCATAAAATCAAGCATCACAGGCTACAGAACTAAACTACTACTAACTCCCTAGTGACAGAAATACCATTGTCTTTTTTGGGATGGCAGAATATTCCAATTGGAGAACATAAATTATCATTTACTGCTCTTGAGAGAAATAAGTTATTGAATCTGCCAACTAAACATCAATTTGAGGAACTGAAAGAGTTCCTAACACTTCGAAGGATACTCCACATAAAAGTGGATATCAAGAACAGGATAATACCAGTAACAATGGCATACTTGAGACCAAGGTTCACTAGTAAGTTTACCAGAAGTCCAGCCAACACAACACCACAAAAATTAGCTGATACAGCAGGCCAGAATGGCATATCAAGAATTGAAGCTACGATGGCCCCAGTCCATGCTCCAGTACCAGGGAAAGGAACAGCCACAAAAAGCATAAGGCCAAGCCACTGAAACTCTTCCACAGGGGCCGCCTTCTTTTTGGCATTCTCAAACAGAATGTCAAGGAATCTAGAAGCTGACTGGTTCCTTCCAGCAAGGAAAGAAGCAAATCTCTTCAAGTAAAGTACAATCAAAGGCACAGGAACCATGTTTCTGGAATTGAAAGTTAAAACGCTAAAATTTGTGAATCTCAAGCTGATTGCTTATTTCTCGAACAAATATACTATTGCATACGACTATTTATGAAACAGAGAATAAGCATTTCTTCAAACGGGTTATCTGCAATTCTATAAAAGCAATCATATCATGAGAATTGAATGTAATAAGCAAAAAGAGACTAACCCAATAACGGATAAGACAGTAAGCGTTATAGGCTTAAGTTGCATCCAATAACCAACGGGAATAGCCCCACGAAGCTCAAGCACTGGAAGCGTAGCAAGTGCAAACACCACAGATTCATCAGGCCAACCCAAGCTTCTAAGAGCGCTCGCAATCTTTAGTCCAAAGCTGGAGGCTTTAATAGAATCAACAGCCGCATTAGCATCCCCTGAAGCTGCAAACCAAGCAAGAGAAAAAGAAGCCCATACCAGGACCCAAAATAGAAACTTTGCTGGCCTTTCCTCAAATAATGGCAATATCTCTTTATCTTCAGTCAGGTCAATAAACCCATCAGAAGAAGCTCTAGTTGCAGTTAGAGGAACAGTGGAGAAACGACGAGAGGCAAGAAGATCGACAGCTTGAAATGGCAAAATTTGGTTTGACTTGACCAGAGATCGTTTCTTATGGGCAATTAAAGGGCAAAGATTAACATTTGCACGGTTGGGCAAGAATTTGAAATGGGTCTTTCTAAAAGAGAAAGACAGCGACAATATCGACACGGAGGAAGCCATTGAAAAGGGAGATAAAGAAATGAGTTTTAATTGCAAGCTTTGAAATTCAAAGACTTGTATGCTCCATCAACTTTGGGGGTTAGGCGATACAGTGAATTTCACATTTTCGTAATTTTTTAGCTCAGAATATATAAATCTCAGTTCAGGTCAATGCTATTCCAAATCAGGAGTTTTAAAAGGAATATATGTTGATTCATTGCCCTTAAAATAATTATGTAAATCCAAAAATTAAGTATATAATATGAGGGAAGACTTTGCCTTGACTTTACCAAATAATGTGGTGCGTGGCGAGAAATGAAACAGAAATTCTAGACAATGGAAGATTTTGCGATCTGGGTTAAGCTTTAGCAAAGCTATGGGATAGTTTAAGGTGGAAATCAACGATGATGGAGATAAACACAAACCGGCATTAAACAACCAACAAATGGGGAGGATTTAACAAAGCTTTTCTTATTTTATTTGAGAATGTAAACAAAACAAAACAAAGAATACAAATCAAGAAATCCTAAGGTGGGTTTAATTTATTAATCTGAGCAAGAAATCCTTATCCTTATCCCTATATTCACATCGAACCGGACACCTTTTGGGCCCAATGTAGACTAATGTAATGCCTTAAAAAATTGTGACAATCAAACGGCAACGTTTTAGGCAGAGGGGCAGCGGACCAAATTTAACAGTCACACCACGCGTGGTCAACCTCCGCCTTTTACCCATTTCCCAGCTCAGAACCTCCGAAATCAGAAACTCCTTTCGTATTTTCTCCTCTGAAGGGCGTTGCGTTTGCGTCACTGCGCCACTGAACTCTGACCAGTTAACAGTACCAGTTTTACACGTTTTGTACGAAGAAGATTGCGAAAATATAATAAACATGAGTCGCAAGAGAGACAAACCCTACTTCTCGCGCCAAGACCGTGCTCCCATCACGAAACGGCGTCGTCCTTTGCCTCCTCAGCTACCAGTAGAAGATGTGGACGACAAGCCAACGGAGAAGAAACCTCCGCCGCCAGCTGTGGTGGTTATGGGTCTGTCGACGGACTGCTCGGTTCTTGACCTGAAGTCGAGGTTCGAGATCTACGGTTCAATCTCTCGTATCCGCATCAATCGTGATGGCGTCGGTTACATAACGTACCGGTCCAAGGAGTCGGCGGAAGCTGCCATTGCTGCTGCTCTTGATGCCTCCTTTGGAATAAGCATTAATTCCAAAAAGGTATGCACGTTACCTTTTCGCTCAATTCTAGTAATATGCCTCTGTTTGCTAGCTGAGAAAATTGGGAAACTTAAAACCCTTCTTTTTCAATTATTTGTGTAATTCAGTGAAATTGATTTCAGCCTGGTGCGAAATTTTACTTGTATCACAGTTTAGCTCTTGAAAGCATCAAACTTTACCTGTTAACAAAAATATTTGATGTCATTTGATTTCTGAAATTGCAGGTACAGGTGCTTTGGGCAACGGATCCGCTTGCGCAATGGAGGGAAGGAGTTGGCGGTGGAAGTAACAAGGAAATTGGGTCATCCTCCAAGCTTCTGCAAGCTGAGATACCCTTACGCAGACATGGCAGAGGTAATAAGCTGGCTTCAGCTATAGTGAAACCCAAAAGCAGTAGTGAGAGTGCTGCTGTGTTGGATGTGCCTTTGAAAGGCAGGGAGATAGTTGCTTATGATGATATTCTTTAGCATTATTGGTGTGGTTATGGCTATTGGATAGGAGAAATGAAGTGTGTCTTGCATGGAAGAGAAGCAGAGCGTAGTGAAGGCCTTTGGATCTTTAAGATACATAAATATATTCTTTCTATATAGTGATAATGAAATGTAGGATTGTTATATTTGGTTTCTTGTAATTGTTAGTTGCATTCTTAGAAGTCTTTTTTAGCAAAAATGTATCGTGTTCCCTTTCAAGAGTTTAATAATTTTGGATTGGACTTTCATCATTAAGTTGTAATTTTGGTTGAATGTTTCCGTAGAAGGATAGCTTTTAGTTTGTTTCCAAGGTTGTGGCAGAGATAAATGCCATTGGATCAACTTACAGGTTTTTCTTTGCGTCTTGTACGGGAACGAGTATGAACATGGATAAATTTTAACGGGATCAAATGCCCGTAACTTGCGAAACGAGCATTTACCTATTTAACAACACAAAGGATGGACCTTCACTCCATTCTTGCAGCAATGTTTACTTGCAACCATGACTGCTCCCATCTTTACGTTTTGTTTGTTGATTTAATAGAGTAGTCTATAATCCGCTGCCAGTGCTGACGTTATATCTTAAATCGTGCTAATGATTGGAAATAAGAAAGCATTAAAATTCTTGCAAGTTTTCGATGAACTTTAAAATTAGGGTACAATGTTTTTGATCAAACAGTTTATGATCACAACCTAGAGCATAAGAATTCTGAAAGTTCAAGGCTTATTCTTCTTAATTTGGTAAGTATAGACAAAGTTAGGTCAGGATTCAGGAAGACAGGAACCAAAAGAGTTTACTTTTATACGATTTCTGTTATAAGAACTACAATACTGTAAAAACCTAATAAGCGTGTTAACGACAGCGTTTTAATTTTATTTGACAGGAAACGACGCCGTGACCCGGGTGTCAAAAGGCTAAAAACTATAGGCGTCGTGGGAGAATCGGAAATGCAAGGAGATCAGTAGCTTCTTCTGAGTCGATAATGGTGGAAAACGAAGAAGGCAAAGCAGGAGGAAAACAAGAAAAAGAAGAAGAAAACAAAGAATTGCATCAACGAGTATGGAGTTGGGGAGCAGGAACTGACGGGCAATTGGGCACAGGCAAGCTCGAGGACGAGCTTCTCCCCCAACTCCTTCACTTTCCTTCTCTTTCCTCCGCTGGACCTATCTCCAAGCTTGCCTGCGGCGGCGCTCACGTTATTGCCTTGAACGCTGGTACTTACCCGCAGTTCCGCCTTATATTTGTGTTTGAATTACAATAGTCTTTATGTTCGATGTTTGATCTCATCAGTTTGCAGGGGGGAAAGTACTGTCATGGGGCAGAGGAACATCTGGTCAGCTGGGGCATGGAGATATTCTCAGTAGCTTATATCCAAAGCCTGTGAATTTTTTAGATGGTTATGTTATCACTCACGTTTCTGCTGGTTGGAGCCATTCTGGATTTGTTTCAGGTCCATTTTGCTTCCATGTCCAGTCAATTAGTTTTTTTTTTTTTTTTCCCTAAACTATTAGTATGCTACTTGATCTTTGCTTGTTTCCCCTTTGCAGACACAGGATGCCTTTTTACTTGTGGGGATGGCTCATTTGGTCAGCTTGGCCATGGGGACTATAACTCACATACTGCTCCTGTTAAAGTTTCATACTTTGCTAATAGACATGTTGAGCAGATAGCATGTGGCATGCGCCATTCACTTGTACTGTTGAAAGGTAAATGTGTAAATTGCAATACATATTGTTTTCCACTAGTAATTGTAATTTCATAATGTGGAGATGCTTTTTCACAAAGATTTATATATCAATCTAAGGTTCTGTAGGAATGAATTTTGTTATTTTAAGACAACTCGATTTCACTTATGTACTGAAACCTAACCAAGAACTAGATGAATAGCTTGATGCTTTTTTTTTTTTTTCTTTCTTGTAAGATTTCTGTTCTTCTATGTGACTAGAGAAATATGATTAATTTCTGAAATTAGAACATAATTCTAAAGTTGGTTCGTCATAGCAAATTTTAGTAAGAGAGTTGCTTTTCAGTGAAATTGATTTTCAATGGAAAAATATAGCAAGAATTTTATAACAAACAATGAAAAAAAGATAAAAATTCCTCTGGTTTAAGATATGTGTAAAATTTTAGCCTGATTATATTCAGTTCCTGTTGATAAGTAAGGTCACAGTGATGCAGATTGTGTAGGAAACCAAGTTTATGGTTTTGGCTCTGGAAAGCGTGGTCAATTGGGTATCTCTAAAGATAAGATTAAATCGGTCAATCTTCCCCAACTTACCTGTGGATTTGAACACATTGAAATCATTAGCATAAATGCAAATGGAGACCACAGCGCTGCTTTTACTGGTAAGTGTGTCCACATTATCTCCTTTTGCAACCGCAATAAAAGGGCAGAACACAGAGTTCCAAGCATGAATATGTTTTCCTCCAGGTTCACATTCTAGTTTAGGGGAATTTCTTGAAATAAAGTTAACATGAAGTCTAGAAAGGGTTACAGAAACAAACACAAGCTTGCATCCGTCTTATGTAATTTATGCTATTTATCATGAAGTAATGTTTTTTTCTTATTGAGGTTTTATTTTATTTCTCACATCAGCTGATGGTCATCTTTTTGTTTGGGGAAGAGGATTTCCTGGAAATTCTGATATTAGTACTCCACAATGTTTGGTTTCATCTTTGCGATTGATCAAAGTTGCTCTTGGATGGAATCATGCTTTAACATTGACTGGTACATGGATGCATTTTGTTATTGGTTAAACCCAGTAAGTCAATACTCCTATCTTCCTAAAGATATGATGGGTGTTGTCTGACTTTTAACATGGATATTATTAACAGCTGATGGTGAAGTCTTTATCCTTGGAGGTGATCGACATGGGGCGCTTAGCAATCTTGAGAAAATGAGCACGGCAAAGTTGTTAACTGGTAATGTATAACTTCGAAGTTTGATCATAAAAGAGTAGTACAAAAAATATAATTTCTTTGACACTCTCTGGTATAAAACTGGGTCATGGTTTCTGCATTTCATTTTATTGCTTATCATGGTAGGCAAGAAACTGGCTGTTCGATGATATACATTACAATCCCTTGTTATTCAAACTTGACTTGCCTACCCTATCCATGTCCATGTCTAATCATCCTGCATATTCATTATAGCATTTGCCTACTACAATTCTAAAATCTGTATTATTCCTCTTTCACATTTCAACAGATTCAACATGCAATGTTTTCGATAGAGTCTCAAGTCTTGACGGGGTGAAAGTTGTGGAGATTGCAGCTGGCGCCGAGCATTCTGCATTTTTGACAGGCAAGATTTTGTTTATGAAGAATTTGCATCTTCTCATATCTTTTTTCCCCTCTTAAAGGATCATTACCTTCATGTTTTGATGTTATTTTAATCACAGTGGATGGAGTAATAAAGACATGGGGATGGGGTGAGCATGGTCAACTTGGCTTGGGGAACACAAATGATCACACCAACCCTCAAACAGTCAATCTAGGCCTTGAAGGTCAGAACCAAGAAGTCCTCTTCAAAGTTTATTGTGGCAGCGGTTTTACATTTGTTACAAGTGTAACTTAACTGTGATTGGATGTAGTGAAAATATGTCTCAAAACTATGATTGGAAGTAGTAAAAAAATGGCTCAAGTGAGTCTAGTATGTAACATTTTTTTTTTTTTTTCTGAATGGATATATAACATTAATTAATAACTTTATAGAGGATTATTGGCAAGTTTTAATGCCATTTCTTTGGTAATTTTTAAATATTATGATTTTTAATTGTTAAATAATTCTCAATTTCATTATTATATTCAAAAGAATTTCAAGAAGGTAAAAAAAAAAAAACATTTTCATTATTAAATTGAAATTGGAAAGAGGAAATATTATTTGGCCAAAACAATACTCTCTTGGTTACAAATAGTCAATTTTTATATAGATTAAGAAAGCGGTAATTATGATGATTAAAGGATAATTTTATTCGTATAACATTTATATTATGTCCATCTTAAATAATACATAAATAATTGATCTATTAAAATAATATAAATTTAATAGAGTAATAATGATTATTAAAAATAAAATAAAATTTAATAAGAGTATAAAAGACAATTTAAGAAAAAAAAAAAAAAAAAAAAAACAGATAATATAAATATAGACAATTATATAAATTAGAAGGAATTAGTAAAAAAGACAATTTAAAGAAATAAAAAAAAAAAAGAGGGGAGTGATTGAACCGTATTTTGAGACGGACGAAAAAAGAATAGTACTAAGCGCCTCCTGCTGTAGAAACACACTATTCCGACAGTTTCGGAAGACAAATTCTGTACACTCCTCTCAGAACCCTTTCGGTATACTGCCAGTAGCAAAGTATTCATACAACTGCATGTGTTCACAGAGGTAATAAACCCGCTGTTAACGCACAGCCTCACCGCCACGCCGGGATTTGAGACTCGAGCAGTACTTGGCACGCCCGTCTTGGCAATGGTTCCACCGTCGACGTCCCGACGAATTTCCTCGTCTCTCTGAGAGAAGCCCGGCCTCCTTCATATTCGAGTAGACGTTCCCAATCAGCGTTCTAACATACTTACAGCTATATGGTACTCTGTCTCTTCTCACAATTTGCAAAGGAAATAATCTTGTTTATCTGTCTGTTTTACTATACCTTTATAATGGTCAAGGCTATGCGCAAATGAAAACGGTAAGGTTTTCAAATCATGAACACAGTTATTATTGGAGAAACAATTGAATATGGAACATTACACTCACTCGAAAGCGGAAATCGAATGGTTTATGGAATGAACCTTTTATAACTTGAACCAAGCTAACAACCTCTCTGAACTATGAATGGATTCAATAGAACCGCAAGTTTTAAAAGTATTAGTGTCTATGCACAGAGTATAGCCCGCAGTAAGAGCCTGGCTTATCGCGACATTAAATGCGAAGAATTCCTTGGGAAACTTGCGCGCTTTTGAGCTACCAGGTTTGAAACACAGTGATCTGGATCAAGTGCGTCAATAAATATGTAATCCTATGGTAGGAAGAACTTGCGGGAATTGAGTGGCTAATGGAACGTTGCTAAATAAACGATGGAGGGATTATATGCGTATAAGTTACTTGCTTCTTTATAAAATGTGAGTCGAAATTCTAATAGAGACTTTCTGTGAATTCGACATATTTGACGCGTTTGCTTATTTAAGTTCTTCATGCAGATTGAATTTGTCAGCGACATCTTAAATTTGTGGTGAGAGGACTGGCAGGGTCAACATAACTGCTCTGAGAAGATTCTACTGAGAGATCTTGGGAGATTGAACGCCTTTGTATATCTGGCATTGAGACTTGAATTATTTCTTAGAATAACATTAGTAACAGTTGTTTTTCTTGTACTCAATCATATAATCGACGGTTTATTTTGCTCCTTAATGCTGTTATTAAGCTAATGCAGCAGAATGTAAGAATTGATGACAAGATAGTGATCATAGGACCACAGTGATTTGCTTTGTTAAGCAAGTACAATCCGCACTACCCTTTTTCTCTTTATATTGGTAACATGCCAAATGAGTTCTAACTATTACATGCCAATCTACAGTTGTTCTAAATGAATGAACTTGTCACATAACACGCCTCGCCAATTTTTAACGCTGATATGCAAAAATGTAGTGTACAAAAAAGCAAATCACTAATCCAATCATATTAAAAGCATAAATAAATAAAACAAGATAAAAAAAATTTATTATTGTAGAAAATTCAAAATGTGATGAGTAAAAAAAAAAAAAAAAAAAAAGGGGAGTGTTGACCGTATTTTGAGACTGACGGAGTATAAAGAGAAAATAGCGCCTCCTGCTGTAGACAACGGCACACCCACAAATATTTCCGACAGTTCGGAAGTTCAAATTCTGTAAACCTCTCAGAAAGCCCTTTCGGTGTATGCCCAGAAATGATAAGAAGCGCAGTCTCGGTCAGAGGTAATAAGGGCGTCACGGCAACTGTCACCGCCAACGCCGGGGATTTGAGACTTCGAGCAGTACTTGGCAACGCCGTCTTGGGCAATGGTTCCACCGTCGACGTCGACGATTTCTCTCTCTCTGTGGAGAAGCCCGGCTCCTTCATAGTCGAGTACGACGTTCCCAATCAGGTTCTTACTTTCTCACAGCTTATGCTCTCTGTTTGGTTCTTCCAATTTTGAAGGAAGTTCTTGTTTATTGTTATTTTTATTTACTGGAATGGGTTTGGCTATTCGCAGGACGTAAGGTTTCAATTCATGAACACAGTTAATTTATTGGAGAAACAATTGAATTGGACATACACTCACTCGAGAAGCGGAAATCGAATGGTTTTGGATGGAACTCTTATATTTGACCCAGCTAACAAGCTCTCTGCTAACTATGAATTGGGTTCAAGGAACTGCAAGTTAAAGTATAGCTATTTGCACAGAGGAGTTACCGCAGTAGAGCCTGGCTATGACTTTGCAAGGAATTCTTGGGACTTGGCGGTTTCGCACAGGTTTGACAGTGATTTGATCAGGGTTTCATATGAGACAATTAGCAAGAACTTGGGAATTGAGTGGCTATGGAGATCGTTGCTAAATAAAGATGGAGGGATTAAGGTATATTTGTTATTGCTTCTTTATAAATGGGTGAATTCTAATTGACTTTCTTGAATTGACATATTGATGTTGGTGACTTTCTTTCTAGCAGATTTCAGCATCTCTCAATTTGGGAGAGGGCCTGCACGTGCCAAAAATAACTGCTGAGAGTTCATGGAATTTTGAGATGTGAATCGCCCTTTGTATGACTGGCTTGAGACTTGAATTTTTCCTTAGAAAAACAAATTAGTAACAGTTGTTTTTCTTGTATCTCATCATATATGAGGTTTATTTTGCTTCCTTAATTGCTGTTCTTGCTAATGCAGCAGAAATGTAGAATTGATGGAAAAACATTATCACAGGCCACAGCTGATTTGGCTTTGTTAAGCAAGTAAACAATCCCACTACCCAATTCTTATATGGTAAGCAAAGTTCTAACTATCTTAATGAAACCATTCAATTGTCTAATGAATGAATTGACCATAACACCCGTAATTTATTTAAGTTATAATAAATTAATGTATAATAAGCAATCACTATCAATCATATATAAAGGATAAAAATAAAAAATAAAAATTTATTATTTGTGAAATTCAAAATGTGATAAATATTTGGGGATGGAGGGAGGGAGTACCACGTTACAGGTGAAAATTTCTCTAAACAAATTGATTGAATGGGACTACATTGTTATACACATTGATGTTTTACGTCAGCAGCGATAAAAACGAAGGCATATGATAATGTTTCCTACATATCCTAATCCTCTAAGGTGAAATAATTATCTGTCCCTTACTCTATCTGTTTACAAGGGGAATGGGTCAAAATGGAAGGGAGAAATCTTGCTGCTTGCATTTCATTCTTGATACCCTTCTTCATTGCACGCCCTCTATTTTATGAGACAATGAGTAGATTATTCTCGAAACCATCATCACGAACAATAGGGCGAAGGGGATCGATCCTCCACTCACCATCAACAATGAACTTGATCTGTGTTACAAAGTAAAAATCTTGAAATGCTCCCATATGAAATAATCTGACAACAGTACAGAGTATGGAGCAACTGTATTTACAACCATTTTACCTGGTATTTGCCCGTATACAATTTCAGGCACAATGAGAAGACACCCGTGCTTGACTTCTGCATCTTTCTCTACAATATAGAAATGTAAATCACTAATCATGGTCAAGATATATATACATGTAAACTAACTCCCAAGCTACTTGCTCCTAATTTAAACCTAAAAAATGTTAATTCATTGATACGGGTCTTTGTTATTCTTCCTTCAGTAAATCTAAGTTCAGGAGATAATTGGGTCCATCACAATCAAATCTCAGAATTAGGAACTGCAACAGGGAGGATCAAGGCTGATTACCCCTTCACCACATGCTCTACCACAATAATATCCTACCCCTGCCCTCCACCAACAACCTGGGTGGGCAAGAAAGTAAACATTCATCACGATCACGATCACCCACCTGCACAGGTACAATTCCAACTGCTGCTCTGATCCGCCCCATTGTTGGAGCAAAAGTGGTGACCCGAGTGAGACTTGCAACAAACAAAGAATAATAAGATCTGCAGATCTAAAGGTACAGGTGCAATAGAGGCCAAGATCTGTATGTTGCCTTCTTCGAGTTTTTAATTGAGAAGGACTTTGAGTTTGCAAGTTCAGTTCATGTGTGAAACTTGGAAAGAGATGATACATTAATGAGATTTTTGACTGATCGATGTTCAACAAGATTAATAAAACAAAGAGAAAGATTACTGAACTTGCAGTCTCAGGCAATGAGAGATTGAGGAAGGGAAAAAAGAGACGAGTACGTATAAACTGGCACAGTTACCTGCCTAGTTGCCATTTGTATTTTACAGAATCACAAAAGCTTATTGCGGAGGAGCTGGAAGCCTCAATATGAAAGAAATTGTTGGAGGCTAAAGAAAAGGGCCAACACAACAAAACAAATACCACTGAGAACACCAGCCTGCTGATATCATGAGTGATTTCAATTATGACATTCTTGAGCAGCCTGGTTTTGTTGTTACTGTAAGCATATATTTTTGCAGATCTCCTCATTGAACCACACACAGAAAATAAAAGGCATGCAATATCATTAAACCAAATATCACATCTCCCTAGTCCCTTCCCTTTCTCTTGCAAAAAGCAAGCAGTTAGAACTCCTGCTGTCCTGCGGTACGGTCCCCACTCTATGAGCAAGTAAATTTTTAAAGGAAAAAAAACGCATGCTCTTATGCTGTCTATGCCCAATTTTCATGTAGATGGAGGTCATCATATTCCTCTCTCTACTTAGAATCTCTTAAGCCGTATTGTACTTTTATTCTTCCTGTAAAATTCTCAGAGCTGACATTCAACTGGTCTTCTGCAATTATTTCTTCCAGTATGAGTAACTAAAAAGGATACATCAAACCAGGTAAGCAAAAGGAAAAAAATAGACGATTGTTGCTTTTGCCTCCAATACTTGCAACTTATCCTATGTTGAAAACTCGTTGTCATTTAATTTCCAAATAATTAATTTGAAATGGAACTGTACCTTGGTGGTCCATCCATCAAATGATCCAGCTAGGAGCACTTCTGAGGCTGAATTAGGCCAAACTATGCATGCAGTACGAAGAAGTCCTAAAGCTCTCCGAGCATCATCAATCCTTCTCTGTTTCTCTTCTGCTATCTTTTGTGCATTGCTGTTGAATTACAAGCATTAAAAATAGTAAAGTAAACTAAAAATTATATGCCATTAGATTAATACAATTGTGCTTACATTAGTGCATGTGCCGTTTTCCCTTCTAATATTGCTAACTTTGCTCGTATTGCCCGCAGTTTAGCCTGAGCAGTCATGATCTCATTTTCTTGGAACTCCCAAGCATCAGAAAGCTTCAAGAAATCGTCATCAGAACTTTCAACCTAAAGAAGATTTAGAATCGGATTAGACATCATTCAAAATTATGCACAGTGGAATCAATCAAGAAATGAAAATGACATCAAGAGCATGCAATTCTACTCCTCCCTTGAAAGAAACAGAACTCTATTCACAAATAGATTCTAGAAATTAAGTAACAAACTCATAAAGAGTGACAAAGTCATGAGGAAAGTTGTCATGATATTATTTGATAATTTTAAATTTGACAAATAAATTATGCAGTCCACTGTATAGATATTTTCAATGGAGAATAGAGGAGAGAGACACTAATTCAGGCAATTAAAAGAAGAAGAAGAACAACAAAGAGATGATGGTTATACAATCATAATGCTTTCTTTGTCAATTTTTCCCAATAAAAGCTCAGTAAAGCATTATTTGCAGATGAAGTAAGCCTAGATGAAAATTGTTGACCAAATGACCAGTAAATCAGCTTATATTGAGTAATCACTATGTAAAAAACTATGCCAAGAATTTGAGGCATAGAATGTTTCTATCAAATATTTTCCAATGTCATGCGAACCTAAGGCCACAGCAAAATCTTCAGTTTATTATTTCCATAATTTAGAAAATGTTACAGCCCATAGCATTGAAAATAATCAGGCAGATCAATGGCAAAGATCAGATACCCACTTTCTCTAATGCATTTTCATCAGCATTTGATTTTAATGCGTTGAGCACAGAAGAAAGCTCTGACTCCAAGTGCTGGAGGCGACTTCGTATTTGATTGTACTTAATCCTTTCATGAGAAGAGTTCACTTTCCTTCCATTTAAAGATGCAATTGTGCTTTCCCTTGTTTCAAGTATTTCATCTCTTAAACAATCCACCTCACCTCCTGCTCTAGTTCCACATGAAACGAATTCATCAGCTGCATATTGCATATAATGTACAGGTTAGTATATCCATAATTTTAAAATGAAGCAAAATGTGACCAGCAAAAACAATACCTTCAAATTCCATTCCTGAAAACCCTGTCCTCCTAATGCTCCATGTCCTCCAGGCATCTGGCTTCAGTGACTTTCCGAAACCATCGATATTTGATAGAGATGTTCTGTGATTCATATTCCCCTCTAAACCATTGACTATGCCATTGGTAGGGTTTGACGATGCAGTTCCCTTGTTTCTTTCTAGGGCAGCAACACCAACTGTCTTTACAATGTAACAAATAATTTAGTTTTTGAGAAATATGCAACTTCTGTTAAACCATTTCCATGCCAAAATGCTTTCCCTTTTTTTTTTTTTAGGGAAAAATATCCCTATCACATCTTAAATGGTTATTGCACTCGACGCAATGGTTCCACCACCGCACAAAACAAGCCCTATAACATTTTGTATGGCAAAGAAATTAAATTATATGTTCCATATATCTTAACCAGAAGACCCATGTAAAAGTAAGAATTTAAATAGCAAGGATTGAATCAATGAACAAAGTAAAAGAATTTCTAACTCAACTCTTTGTCCCCATGAAAGTGGCTTAAGATGTTACCCCTTTCTCTTTTTGGGATAAAATCATCCCTGGATTCTTTTTACATTTCTGATTTCAAATTCTGATTGCCAATAGCTCACCAAGATACCTGGAATATGTATTTTTCTATTTTTATTCATATACTTAAGAACAGCAGGTACTTAACAACTATGATTTTGTTAACTATACCAACACAAATATCATAGTTCAGCCAACAGGAAGCAAGAAGGCACATAATATGGCTGATTCAAACACTCAAGTGATAAGAAGAAAGTAACCTCTCCTTATTCATTGTTTTTAAATCTTTAAGTTAATTTCTCACAAGCAATGCACATCTTGTAACCTGCAAGATCGCAAATGTACAAACTAACAAAGATGGAGTTAAAGAATGATGCATGTCAGTATTTTAACATTAAATAATTCAACTTACTGCATTCTTTGTGCTTTTAGCTGGCGAGTTGTGGCTAACATCATTACTTTGGACACCTGTATCTCCTGTTCTCTCTTGCAAACCAAACCCAAAACTGATATTTCTTTCTTTTTCCAGTCGACTCAATATACCCTCAATCCCAGAATCATTTTCAGCTGCTGTCTCTCTGAATGCCAAAAAAAAAAAAAAAGGTCATAAAATACCCCAGATATTTATCAATCCATGACAAAATGAAAATTCATTTCATAGGACAGGAGTTTGGCATGGAAAAGGGGGTGAAATCGTCAATTTCTATCTTTCTACTACTATTTCGGCTAATGGCTTATATATATTAAACCTCCATATGAGGCGGGAGAAAAGTACAAGGCTGAAATAATGAAAAGATACAAATTTTCAAAACATTAATATTGTGCAACGGCTTATTCCAAACATGAAAAGAAGACAAGATTGTTGCTTTTCAACTTTCTTGTCACATCCGTGCTTAGCATAATTATCCCGGACCTGTGCCCATAATGGATAATACACTTCTATCCTAAGATATGATACCTTCCTTTCCTTCTTACCCCATAAGTAACACAGGGAAAGTCATTTATCCATGGAGTGGACAAAACAACAGTAAACAGACGGAAAAGGAAGCTTCGAGTGTTTTAGCCATCAGAATTACCCTACGGTAACTAGCAGAAAACTATCTTTTTCTACTTTCCCTTCAGGTTCATGGCTCTTAATAATCCCTTAACTTAGGCCATAAAACATTGAACTCCTTATCACTAAAATCTTAGGAGTAACAAAAATCAAAAGGATTAACAAGTAAACTAAAAATTAGAAGCCTCACAGTGATCTACCAGACGAGGAAGGTGAAGGATATGAACCATTGCCAACGTCAAAGGAAGAAGCTTCAGAATTCCATTCTTCATGGCCCTCCTGAACCCTCTCCGCATTGCATTCATTATCTGTCACCAAACCCCAATTTGTATCAACATTATAAATAACCTCCTCTTCCCCGTTTAGATTAACATCCGAATCCCAACCCGAAGCGACCCAGCCTCCTTGCGTCAAAATAGCCTCCACAAGGTCCACCCTCCCAGCATCAATTAGTTGCTTCTTGCTTGGAAACGCCTCTGGTTTCTCCGAATTCTTCATGTACTCCAAAATCTCCGCTTCCAAAGCGAAATCTTCCTCACTTTTCCAACCCGTTTTACACCTTCTAGCAAACCCACCACAGCTCCAAAAACAATCCCTATAATTCCTATTTTTTGCGTCCAAAAACCCCAACAAAGAACAGCTCTCCCTCCCCGCAACAAAGTGCAAATCCATTAACCGTTCTCTGTTTCTCGACCTTCCTTCAAATAGATTTAAGCGAAAGTAATTGCGGCTTAAATCAGCAAAAGAATTCGGCGATACAAAGATATGGGTTGGCACAGTAGTAAAGGAGAGCATGGTTCATGCATTTCGTCGAACACTTGGAATTCAAGACCTAGAAAAAAATATCTACAGCGTATAAAATAGGAAAGGAAGGCGCGCAAGCTAAAAAAGGGAAAAGTTAAGTTAAGAGAGAGGTATCATCAAGCAACGAACAATGGCAGCGAAAGCGTGATACCCATTGGCCATTGGCCATTAATGGTGTACTGTGGTACTTGTATGCGCGGGGCAAACTCAACTTAAAGCGGAAGATGGAAAGCGACTTAATTTATTATCATTATCATGTCTATTGTCTATTTCTTGATTGGATTGACCCATCGATTGAAAAGCCGCAAGGCATAAGCCAATTGCCACTTTTAGCTTGTGACTTACTGACTTGCGAGTTGCAATGCGACGCTCGCATTCGTGGGATAAGCCAAAGATTCAGAAAGTGCTTTGCTTGTTGTCGTAGAAGAACGAGACACCTTCAATGCAGTAATATCTTGGCTAAATCAACAAAAAAAAAAAAAGAAAAAAAAAACCTGTAATTTGACATTTTTAGTAAATTTAGCCAACATTTTTAATTTTTTCAATTACTATCTTCAATTTATTTTTTTTATCAATTACGGTCTCTATCAAAAGTCTTTCATTTTGTGGCTTAATTGGCCGTTAATTCTTGAAACACGCCAACTCACGTATATGTGGCCATTTTTTTGTTATTCATCCTTATTTTTAGAATTTTTAAATTAAAAAATTGCGTTGTTGAGACAATATCTTTTCCATGTCACATTAAATTTGAAAGAATTTGATACGATTTCAAGGTACGCCAACAATCCCAAGCTCCGCTGAGTAGTTTTTTTCACTCATGGAGCTATCTCACTTGACCACACCATTGAATACTAAATGCTGGTCAGAATTGAAAATAAAAAATAAGTACAATATATTGATTGCAAAATTAAAAGCAGTGACTAAATTTGAAATAATTCAGAAATTCATGTTTTTTTGGGATTAAGCCTAATATTTTTATCTTATTTCATGAAGTTTGTTTAATTTAATTAGAAAGTGCAATTAATAGTTAATTAATTTAGGCTCGATTGATTATAAACTCTGATAAGAGCATCTCCAATGCAGTCATTGGTTGTTTTAATTTATTTGCAACGTCTAAAAAATTGAAAGTTAAAAACAAAAACTTTCTGTAATGTTATTGTCTGTTTAGTTTGTGAGTGTGATGTGTAAACAAAAAGACATTGTCCATCACGCTATCTACTTTCAGAGAGTCTATTAGACAGCGTGACTCAACTTTTTATTCTTTTTTTTATTATTTTTTTAATGTCCTTTATGCATTCTCATTTATTCGCGATCAAACTTCTTATTGCGCCAAAACTAATTTTTTCTTCGTGCATTGGAGAGCCATTTTTAAAATCTAACATCTATAAATACACATTCAGCCATATCATCATCCACAATTTCTATTTATTAAGACAAATCAGTTACAATCTATGGTTGCATTCAACATATTTTGCTAGAAAAGACATTGAAATATATATATAATGCATACATCTTTCCCTTGAGCCAAATGAAATTGCTATGTATTGTCATATAGGATTAGAAAAGTTAAGTTATGTCAGTAGGATTCTAAAATGCTTTAATTTGTAAATAAATGCAAAGCATAAATGCTAAGACATAATAATCAATAATATAATTAGCAAAAAAATAGTCATTTCAAAATCATAAAATTTTATTTGACTATATAAATAAATAAAATTAAATAGAATATTTTATTTTGTAACATTATTATTATTATTTTTTCAAAAATGGTTTATTATCATAATTACAATTTATAAATTTTTAACTATATTTATTAAATTAAATTAAAACATTGCAAATTCTAAAGTTATTTATCTACAAATCAATTAAAAATTTGAGAATAAAAATATAAATTAAATATTAAAAATCATATTTATTAAACTTATAATGCATAGCACAAAATATATAACCATAAAACCAAGTAGGATTGCATCATTTATTTTCTATTAGTTTTAATAATACATAAACAAACACAACCAGTGTGTAATAAATGATAGTTTAATTATCAATTATATTTATCATCATTAAAATTGTATGAATAATAAAAAACTTGATTAAATAAAATACTAAAATTTGATTTCAAATTCAAGTCATTTTAAAATTAATTTAAATAAAGTATTTTCACCAATAAAACTGCTTAATGAATATGGAGGAAATGATACATAGAACAACGTTTTAAATATAGTTTTTAATAACTATAGCTATAATAGTCACAATGAGGAGCTAAAGTTATTTATCTACAAATCAATTTAAAAATTTGAGATATAAAAATATAAATTAAATATTAAAAATCAATATTTATTAAATTATATATGCATAGCACAAATATATAACCATAAAACCAAGTAGGATTGCATCATTTAATTTTCTATTAGTTTTAATTAATTTACATAAACAATTATCACAACCAGTGTGTAATAAATGATTATTTATTATCAATATATTTATCATCATTTAAAATTATGAATAATAAAAACTTGATTAAATAAAATACTAAATATTTTGATTTCAATTCAAGTCATTTAAAATTAATTTAAATAAATATTTTGCACAATAAACTGCTTAATGAATATGAGGGATGATATGATACATAGAACAACGTTTTAAATATAGTTTTTAAATAACTATAGCTATAATATGTTTTTCACAATGAGAGTTTTATAATACATTTTGTTTTATTTTAAATGTTTAAATTGGAATTCACTAAATAGTTTCAAAGTTGAAACATTTATAATATAGTTTAGATTAGTTGAATTTATTTGCATTTTCACAAAAGATTAGTTGAATTTAATTGTGATTTGAATAATATATAAAAAATTTCCAAATATAGCTTTGAAACAAATATAGTTGGAAAAAACTTACCACAATTAGTGTTTTATACTAAAAATACATCTAATATTTATTTTAAATATACTTTAACGAGAAAGAAAAAAAAAAGGGAAAAAAATACATATTGTAGACAAATAGAACAACAAATTCAAATAAAATAACACGATATATTACAATAATAAAAAATGATTAATAATATTATAATTTAAAAATAAAGTGTGATTACCTATGTTGTTTATTCAAGTGTGGTTTTCATGCCACGTTCGCATCAATAGTTAATGCATTGCCTTTTTCGATGTATTTTGCCATTTCCATAAATTTTCTATGATTTATTATTATTTAATTTTTATATTTTGATAAAATTAATGTATTAGAACCTATATTTAAATATTAATTAAATGGTTCATCTATTTTATTTTATTACCGTTCAATTTAATAACTCTGTTACTAAAATTTTTTATATTTTTAAATTAGTCAATTAAAGAAATCAATATGCAATGAATAAAAAAAAAAAAGAAATCAAATGCAATTATGATTTTTTATTTATATAAATCAAGATTGCTAACGTTTCGGATAAAAGAAAAGGTTTGTACTATGAATTAATGATGGTAAGTAAAAGAAAATTTGAAGTTTAGATGTTAACATTGACCAGTCTTGACAATTTAATTAAAAATTAATAAATTAATAAATGAGTCAATCAGTTGAACAACAAACACAATTTAATTGATTTTTTTAAAATAAAAATCTTAATTTATAAATTTGTACTGAGAGGTCCCACATAGAACAATTCAAGGGCCAAAAGCCCAAAACCTGTCTTCGTTTTAAACAGCAAACCAGTTTTCCCTCAAATTGGGCCTATAATGTGGGCTATTTCTATGATTTTGTCAGGATTATAAATTGGGCTTAGTGGTCTTATTCATTTTTGACTGACAATTATCTTTACTTGCTCACTAAATAAGTAAATGTTAGTATTGTATTGGTGGTGGTGGGTTTTTCATGGTGGGATTTATTGCGGTCCATATCAAAAGGAACTTCAGTGGCAAAACTCCCTCCCGTAAAGCACATGAGAGAGATGCAGGTGCGGAGTACAGAATCAAGTGACGTGTTTTAAAACTGCGAGAAAGAGGGAAGATTACGGGTAAATAAGTGAAAACACTTTAAATCTAAGTAGATCTTAACCCCACATGTTGTCTTGATGCGTCTTTTCAATTGCAGCACAATGAGAGGTACGTTGTGGTAATTTTCTAATCTTTCTTGCAACTTTTATGGCCATCTGTACGGTAGTTTGTTGATCATCATCTTTCAAGGCACCGTACGACGTACGTGGCATAAAATGAAAACACAAATTGTATGGGCCTTTTGGCCTCTTCATACCCATTAGCCTGTGTAACGTGGCATGCAAGGTGAAAACAGAAGTCACAGTTAATAGGCTACGAAAAAAAAAAAAAACCATGCGTAGCTGCACCCGGTAGCGTGTTGAGCCATTATTAAATTTTTGAAAATGAAAATTCACTGGTTGTTAATAATAATCAAAGCATACCTTAGAAGAAATATCATAGAGTATTTTTTTTTTAATTACCTTTTTAAATATTTATTTTATAAATACGATCACAATCAATTAAAATTTTTAACTCTTATCTATATATATAAAAAGCTATAAATATATTTGAGAGTGAAAATTAATGTAAAGATGAGAATATAAATTTATTTTTCTGAAAATTCATTTTACTGACAGAATAAAAAAAAATTTACTGATACGTGTGAGGATGGAATTTAATAAATTGAAATATCTCTTTCCAGTGACTAGGATTTTGGCCATTATATATCATATGATTGTGACAACTATCTTCTCACTTTCTAATAGTCAAACGTGGCCCCCAAAAAATTTGAATTTGTAAATTAGCCTCTCATACCAGTCATGATATTACAACTAAGCTACTTGTGTTTTATTTATTAATATTGTCTCATGCAAATTAATAGTTTTTGTTTTATTGTCTTGATTTATATTGTCCTTGGCACATTGCACATACACATTTGCATTCTTGTTGGAACTTAGTGCAAAGACTAAATCAAATTTTAATTACTCTTTGATTGTGCATAATGTCATAATCGTCCAATTAAAATGAAATCATTTTGAAGATTAATAAACCATCAACCCTTGACTTTGTTTTTCCTAACATGCTCTGAAGTTTCTGGGTTCACCATATGACATGCAGAAAAGTCATGCATGATGGCTATTAATATGTGTAGGACAAATACTTTAATATTTAGAAGACAATAGCTGTCTCTTGTCTCTACATTTCATTAGTGGTGCCTTGCTGCCTATAATTTCCACCACTTCTTAATAAAAAAGATGGAATAGTGACAATAATTGATGTGCTGCGAATGGTTACTTTCTCCGTGAGAACACTTTGTTTTTGTCACTTATCAAGAAGTTGTGATTTGTTTTTAGAGATAGCTGGGTTCTGGAATAAAAAGACTAGCTAGCTATTTTGCTCTATATCTAGTAGTTGAATCAAATCAGTACCCATGACGTAATAATTATATATAACAAATTT